CTGGCAAGCTCTAGCCCACCTGCACGCTACCTGCCACCAGCAAGCTCTGGCCCATCTGCGTGCTACTGGCCACCGGCGAGCTCTGGCCCATCCGTGTGCTACCGGCCACTGGCAAGCTCTAGCCAGGCGTGCTTCCGGCTGCCTGCGTGCTCCTGGCACAGGAAGCCCCAGCAGCACCTGCCGCGAGGGAGGGGGGGAAGCTGGGGGGGGGCAATGGGGAACATACCCCCCCTCTCCCGGGGGGTGCAGGATGGGGTGTGGGAATGCAGGGTCGGACCCTGGGGCCACCCAGCTCGGCCAGATGCAGGAACCTCTCCCAGAACAGCCAAAATCCGAGATTTTTCCACCCCTGTTTATATGGAAAAATAAAAATAAAGCCCCAAATCTCCGTGCAATTCCCCCAAGGCTGATTTGGGGGTGCAGATGGGGGGATGGGGGAAAAACCTGGAGTTTTTTTGGGCATTATTATTGCCAAGCGAAGGCTCAGCCGGACGGACAGACGGACGGACAGACGGACGGACAGCCCCTCCGCCACGTCCCGCAGTCCTGCCCCCGGCCGAGGTGTGCCAAGCCGCGCCAGCCGGCTGCAGCGCCCGGCACTTAATCCCTCCAGCAAAAGCCTTTAAAAAAAAAAAAAAAAAAAAAAAAAAAAAAAACTTTGTTCATTCGGTGGCAATATACACATTAATGAAAAGTTTCAGTTGAAAACCACTGACCAGGTCTCACTTTTGAGTAGGACTTGGATGCTTCTCTGTAATTCAGTCCTTTGCTGTAACTTTCGGGAGGTATATTTGTTTGTGAAAATGATAGTATTATGACTGGTAATATATAACATTTTTTTGAGATAATGTTTATGTATAAAAAAAAAAAATTATATTTATTCCGCATGGAAAAGGCCCTCGGCTGAACTGTTGTTTTTGTTTTTTTTTTTTCCTGGTCTAAATTAGGTGAAATGTCACTGTTTTGCAAGAGGGAAAAATTGCAAAAGGAAAACAAAACAAACAAAACAAAACAAAACACCCCACAACAAAATATTTGGAGGCAATCGGGCCAAAAAAAAAAAAAATCGACATTTTTAATTTTTAACTGTTTTTTTGGTTTGGTTTGTTTGTTTGTTTTTTTTAACCAAAAAGCCTTTTTGGATGGGGAGTGCGAATCAGGCTAAAAAAAAAAATCAACATTTTTAATTTTAAACTTTTTTATTTATTTTATTTTTAAACTTTTTATTTTATTTATTATTATTAATTTATTTTTAAACTTTTTTTTTTATTTTTTGGATGGGGAGTGCGAATCAGGCCAAAAAAATCAACTTTTTAAATTTTTAACTTTCAGAGAATAAAAAGCTCTTCCCGGGTGGAAAGCGAGAAGGATGGGATGTGGGATGGGATCTACCCCTGGTTGTGTGTGGGGGGGTGCCTTCCCCCATCGCCACCGGGGTGGCACTGGGTTTTGGGGGGGTGGTGGGTCTGGGCGGTGGTGGTGGTGGCACGCAGAGCCCTCCTGGTGGCATCTGGTGTGGCTTGGCCACGGGAGGCCAGCAGAAGGACAGGGCAGCTGCCAGATCTTCAGGCCTTGGGCTGAAAAATACCTAAAATACCCATTTCCAGAAAAAAAAAATAATAATAAAAGGGCTAGCAGTTAATGCCAGGCTCGGAAAAAAGCTGGAGATGGGATTATGGGATTTATCCCAGCCCCATAGAGAGGCTTCAGGGTCACGGTTGGGAGCAGTCGCAGGTGCTGGACCCCGAGTCCTGCCCCATAGAAAGGTTGGGGGCAAATGGGCACGCCCCTTCCCAGGGCCCTGTTGACAGGTGTCTTCCATGGGGGCAGCAGCCTGGCTGATTGCTCTCGTTAATGAGATTATGAGTAATCTGGGTCAATTTAGTGCCAGCCTGGTCTGGAAGGGGGGCTGGGGTCTGCTCTGCTGTGTCTTACAACAACATCCCCTGGGGAGGGGGCTCAGCGTGTCCCCCCTGGAGCGGGGACAGCATGTGGCCGGCAGCAATGGGGCAGCACCCTGGGGTGCAGGGGGGGTGAGGGGGGGCTGAGCATCCTGGAATGGCCACAGGGAGCATCCGGGGATGGTAGGATGCAGTGAGCATCCTGAGATGGCCATGGGGAACATCCTGCAGGGATGTCAGGATGCAGTGAGCATCCCAGGATGGCCATGGGGACCATCCCGGGATGGCCTTGGGGAACCTCCAGAGATGCCAGGATGCAGTGAGTGTCCCAGGATGGCCATGGAGATGCTGAGCATCCTGAGATGGCTTTGGGGACCATCCTGTGGTGGCCATGGGGAGCATCCAGAGATGGCCATGGGCAGCATGCAGGGATGCCAGGTTGCAACGAGCATCCTAGGATGGCCATGGGGATGCTGAGCATCCCAAGATGGCCTTGGGGACCATCCTGTGGTGGCCTTGGGCACCATCCCGGGATGGCCTTGGGGAGCATCCAGGGATGCCAGGGTGCAGTGAGTGTCCCAGGATGGCCATGGGGATGCTGAGCATTCTGAGATGGCCTTGGGGACCATCCCGGGATGCCAGGGTGCAGTGAGCATCCCAGCGTCTGTGCTCCCTCTGGGCTTCTATGGGAAGCTGAAAAAGTCCTTGACAATATAAACACCGCTCAGCAACAATTGAAACAATACGTGTTACCGACACGACTACTCTCATCCTAAATCCAAAACGCAGCAGCTACGGCATCCTGAGATGGCCTCGGGGACCATCCTGTGGTGGCCACAGGGAGCATCCTGACATGGCCTTGGGGAGCATGCAGGGATGCCAGGTTGCAACAAGCATCCCAGGATGGCCATGACCATCCTGAGATGGCTATGGGGACCATGCCAGGATGGTCATGGGGAGGATCCAAGGATGCCAGGATACAGTGAGCATCCCAGGATGGCCATGGGGATGCTGAGCATCCTGAGATGGCCTTGGGGACCATCCCGGGATGGCCTTGGGGAGCATCCAGGGATGCCAGGGTGCAGTGAGCATCCCGGGATGGCCATGGGGACGCTGAGCATCCTGAGATGGCCTTGGGGATCATCCCAGGATGGCCATGGGGAGCATCCAAGGATGCCAGGATGCAGTGAGCATACCCGGATGATCATGGGGATGCCGAGCATCCTGAGATGGCCATGGGGACCATCCTGGGATGGCCCTGGGGAGCATCCCAGTGTCATGGTTTAACCCTAATCAGGAACAAGGACTGCGTAGCCATTCACTCCCCCCTCCGCCCAGTGAGACAGGGAGGGGGGAATCAGAAAAAAAATGGAAACCTTGTGGGTTGTGATAAGGCCATCTTAATAGAAGAGTAATGGGAGAGAAGATAATAACAAAATAATGATAAAAGAACATAAAAAAGGAGTGATGCAATGCAATTTCTCACCATCTAGTGATGCCCATCCCATCCTGAGCAGTGATTGAAGAAAATTAATTATATCCCAGCTAAAAGGACACCTGGGATGACTGCAGTGAGCACCCCGGGATGCAGAGACCCACCCTGGGATGCAGTGACCCACCCTGGGATGCCACGGCCATCGGCTTGATACAGCCACACTGAGCATCCCCAGCGGGGGACGTCTCCCAAGGATGCTGCTGCTCTTTGAGGGGGGCAATTAAATAAGGCCACCCCCCCCCCCCCCCCAAAAACCCAACCAAAAAAAAAAAAAACCCCACATTTTTTTTTTTTTTTTTTTTTTTTTTTTTAAACCC